TGTGATTCTATAAATCTGTGCTTTCCCTTCCTTTATTTCCACCTCTAAGCCTTCTAACATAAGTCTTCTGCAATCCCAAAGTGCTCTTCTGCATCCCATAATGTGTTTTATAACCTTATTTTATAACCCTGTTTTATAACCCCCCTCAGTTGGCAAGATGCTCTATTCTTTTCTCATAACATGTTTCACGCTTGGATAATGAAGCTGATGCTCTTCTGGGACAGCTCAGAGAGGAGCTTACACAGGGTATCCCTTTCTCTGAGACCTTAATTTGGCTTTCTGCCTGCTCCTGTGGTCTTCTCTGGGCTTGTAGAGATGGGCTGGTTCTTATGATGGGCCTGAGAGCGACCAGGACAGGGTATTAATTGGGGTCCCCACAGCTGAAATGTCTCTCTGGGCTCCTTTGCAGGTGTGCAGGTAGGCTTTTGTAATCTAGCAGAAGAGGCTGAATATTGTACTTCCACAACTTTTCCTCAGAGGGCCTCTAAGAATACCAGCAATATAGTTTAGAGGTATAGTCTAAAATTTAAGTAATGATTGGACATTCAGAGTAATGTAGAAAAGTAAATAGTTATCTCATGATGTTAATTGTTTACCTGTTCATAATAAGTGTCATGTGGCATTCTTGGGTGATATACTTTAATGCTGACTATGCTGATATTTTCAAAATGCAGATAGTAGACAGAATTAAAAACTGGCTTTTTAAAAAAAGCTGTCAGTTGAATGATGTGCTTGGTCAGCTATTGTGGACAGGCAACACCTGGCTCTTGCATGTATCTTCTTGCCCTTTATGTGACTGGACAGCGAACTAATCGTATTCTCTTTTAGGTTGAGCTACCTTGACCTTTGGTAAGAAGGTTTCTGAGTTAAATTGGTTTTGGCAGTTACCCAACCATGTATCTCAGTCAGGCTGTCTTATGCCTAAACATCTGACAACCTCACAGTCTGCCTGTCTTGCCTATTGATTGTTTCTCCCCAAGCAGATTAATGTAATTGTGGCCTGTTGGACTGGACTCTGGTGAGGTTGAGAAGTGCATCCCTGGCTTTTTCATAGGTCTCAGTGGTTTCTGATGGTGACACTGCTAGTAAAGAGTCCTTGAACTCATGTTGTTCATATTGTTCCACATGTTGGTTATGCAGCAGCTAGGCTTAGTCTAGAAGATGTGTTTCTTGGTAATATAAAAAGACATTACTTAAGTTAAAGACGACAGAAATATGTATGAAGATCCAGCCTGTGAACCCTTCACATGTTTGCAGCAAGTAATATCTTCCCTTTTTGGTACTCTGAGGTTAGGTATCTTCAGTGTAAAAGGCATGTTTTCATACACAATTTTATTTTATTTTTTTTTTTTTTTTATAAAGGAAATGGGCAAAATGGAATCGAAGTTAAAACTTGTTTTAGTTTCTCACACTGCAGGTGCTCTGAGACTCTCAGGAATTTCTTACTGAAAGGCAGGCATGTCAAAATTAAAAGGAGATTTAATGTTATTTTACTGCTCTAAGGTCCATCTTCAGGAACAGCCTAGTTCAATACTGAGAGTGCTGTTTTCTTAAGTTGAGTAGTAAATTCTCTGTTTTTTGTGCTAAAGGGAAGGACAATCACATCTGGTAAATGACAGTAGCAAAAACTTGTCTGGTGACTCCCTCCGGTGATAACTATATTCTTCTTACTTTTATTGAGACTAATCCAACTATTTAGTTTCTAGAAACTGTAGTTTAAAAACTGTAACCAAAATTCTTTCATACCTTAACTACTAGATATTCATTTTCATTTACTTTTACAGTCTAAAAATATTTCAGTATTTATTTTGTGGTTTTCTGTCAAAAACCTTTTAAAAATTCTTTCAAAATATCCTTAAAAGCCTGTTAGAAGACCTTAACATCTTGGTTGGAAAGATTAACAAACTGTAAGAGCACTTTGTCTGTGCAGTGAACATTTAAAATATCTAACATATGGTAAAGGATTGTAACAGGCAGCTTAGAGGATATCCACACACTGATGAAAAACTGCTTAGGGGCCTGGAGCAGAAAAAAAAATACATAAAGTATTTTCAGTTGAGCTTATTAGCATGTGAAGGAATAACCACATTTCAATGTTTGGTTACTTACAGTTATTGGCTTAAAGAGGAATTGGAGACAGAAAGTTTCTTTTTCATTTATTATGTATAATAAGGCTTACTTTTCCCCAACACAGAAATATTTTTGCCATTAAAAATAAAACAAAAACTGTTAATACTAGATCTTCATTTCCTCCTTTTTGCCTAAGGATACTGGCAAGGTCTTTGAAGGACAGAAACATTAATGTCGTATGAGGATGCTGCCTGAGCCTCAGCCTCTAGAGAAAGGATATAGATTCATAGATTCATATTTGCAGTGTGTCTGACTTTACAGTTTATGCAACGTGCTGGTTTCTTTTGAAATAATTGGCATACTCCCTGCTGAGTTCTAAGGACCTTTGAATTCAGTAGAATGGTAGATAGCTCATCTAGCTATCAGTATATATTAATTTTGCCCAGTGTTACCTGCAGGAAACATAACACCTAATTGTGTTTCTGTTTATGAGGTAATTGCATTGAACAACATCTTGGGAACTGCAGCTTTATTGAAAAATGAGAAAAATTAAGTGAAGGGGTGGGAGATAGTGAAACTGGTTAATTCATGTGCATCTGTGAACCTAGAACAACTGGCACAATGCTTGCCACAAAGACATTTGAGACACTTCTTTATGCTGTGCGAGTCATGGTGACATTTTAACAGTTTACAGAAGCTTCCGAGTTGCCTTGCATATTAGTATTAGCTTTGAGATGTGTTGATGAAATCAGTGGCAATTTGACAGTTCATATCTGAAATAAAGCGTTTGTGAATATGACTTGAAATTCATTGCAATAGTGATGCAGCTGGAATGATGTTTTCCAATAGATATAATCATGTTGCAAAAATGATGTAACATTTGCTAAACAGTGGCATGAGCAGAAGTATGTGCTTAGCAGTACTGGGTAAGAGGAGTACTTAACATATGTAATCAGCAGCAATGGTTTCAAGAGGAAAATAATTTTTGGAAATGCTTAGAGAAGCAGTACAATTCCTTAAAATTGTAAATACTGCATTTCTCAGTCTGATGGGATTTTTCTGTTGTGGATGTAAACTTGATCATATAAGAAAATGCTTCAGAGAGACAACAGCAGCCCTGAGGCTTTTCAAGTATTTTGAGGCAACAACACCAAAGTAATTCTGTGCAGAAAAGCAGCCTGAAACATGAAATTGCTCTGCCTTTTTCACTGGTTTTCACTTTGTTGAAATCATCTGTCTTTGCAGAGTGATGGTGAAGGCAGTGTAATGAACTAACAAATCAAAACAAGCTAAATGTAAATCGTTACAAAAGATAAATGGCAAAAGGGAAACTGCACCCCAAGCATATGTGGAAACTACTGAAATCTGCCCGGCCTGCAAGCGGAACATGGGCCTCTCAGACATCGACGTGACATGCAGAGGGAGCAGAAGAGCAAGCTCAGCCACCAAATGGTGAGTGATCTGTTTGTCCCTACATGGTGGTTTTGATGAACAGGCTTCTGTCTCTTCTATTAGGAAAGCTCTTGTGGTCTGTTTAACTTCTGTGAGGGCTTAGTTTACTTTTGCTGACAGAAGCTGACACTTAGTGAGTTTAATACAGAAGCAGCTGTGGCTAGACCTCTGCTGTATTCCGATGCAATGCTTCTGGAAGGAGTCAGTTGAGTTAGTGGAGGAACTTTTAGGAAATCTCTTGGGCCAGTGTGTCTTGTCATATCCCTGTTTCTTTGCTCTAGAAAGTGTGAATGTATACTGAATGGATAGTTTTCTAAACTAAAAAGACAAACCAGGAGAGCCAGAGGAAGAGAGGAGGAAAAGCCCAGCAACCTGTAATTCTACAAATGTTACATTTGGGGGAATTCCTCAAATTCAGCCCATCTTCTGTAAGTTCATGGTGCTTGTAACTTGCATAACAATCAAGTGATTGTAACTCAATATATCTATACATCATTTAGGGAATTAGAGATCTGTGGAACAGGAGCATTTGCAGACAGACGTTCAGGCCAGTTTTAAGTTTTAAAACTGAACTTTGCTAACATCTCTCATGAGCAACATACTTCCTGCTAATGGCAGCTCTTACACAATACTGATCGTCATCACTACATATAAAAGGCTGTTAGTTTTTATTATACATCTATGTTCTAAATTAGTTTTGAGTATGCAATACTGTGGAGATAACACTATATATTTAGCACTAGTGGCCATGGTTCTTGGTAGCCCTTAGTTGCAGACTTCTAGGAGATCTTGCTCGAGAGCTTTTTGAGAGAAATCAGAAATGAAACAGGCTTTGTCCTTTGTCTTCTGCCTTATGTCAGATGTTTGTGTGCTCTTGCTCTCCTCCTCAGAAGAGGAGTCTGCTTATTTGCTTATTTGGTTAGCTTTTGTCTTGCCAGTCAGTCTTCATGCATGTTCACAAGGATGTTCCACCTATTTTCATTTCCTTTGCTTATCTTATTTTTGACTGTCATTTTTTGTTACTGGAATGACTCTTTTTTTTTTTTTTTTAAGGAAGCAGATTTATAGTAGACATAAAATAGCCCAGTTTTATTGTAGTCTGCTTACATTTCTGAAAATGATAATGTTAATGTTAGATATGTCTGCGTTAGTCTCTTTAATGCAAATATTTTGTCATAACATTTTCCCAGTTGTGCTGAGAATTGCCACATACAGAGAAAACTGTGTTGCACTTAAGATGCCCACAGGTGATTAAGGAATAAATCTCTAATTATACACATGTGGAACATCTTCAACAACATCTGCATAGAATAACATCCCTTTATCATCTAAAATAATTTCTGAAATCTGTGTGTTGGTGATTTATTTTGTCTGTATTATTGGTGTTTTTTTTTTTTTTTTTTTTTTTTTTTTTTAAATCATTTTTCTTGGCAGAACACAGGGAACAAAGATTTGGAAAAAAAGTCAGACTCATGGTTTTGTCTGTTTGTTTCTTTTTGTTTGTTTGTTTGCTTTCTTTAGTGGTGTGCATCTGTGGGTATACTCACACACATGCACATTCTAGGCAGTGTGAAAGCTGGAATAGTATGATATATTGCAGAGTTACTAGAGACAGATACTTTAACAGCTTCCAAGTAAGCAGCCCTTCCTTCTCTGTCACCATGTTCAGTTATAAGTTCCGTGTTGGCACAAACAGCTCAAAGCAAAAATGAAGACTCTTACCAGGGTGTTTCCATGGATACAAAGCAGTCAGTGTTCTCTTCTTCACATTGAACCCTAAAGTTTATCACCTTTTAACTGCTGTTGCTGTTGTTTAATAATGTAAAATAATCTGTTTTTGTTCTACCGAGACTGATTGGAAGATTATTTTAGTTGTTCCAGCTTTCAGGAGTACTCAGAAGTGATAGCAGGATAGGAAGTTAGAGAAAAACTTGTTTGGGGAATTATGTGTTATTATTTGTCAGCATAAATTTTCAGATGGTTAAAAGATATTTTTTGAGACTAAATGAAAAAAAATATATTGTTAGTAGTATACATCTTCAAGCAAAAAGAAAAGTTAGCTTTAAGGAAATTTCCCTTCAGATGATGCTCTCTAATGAGCTAGCTGAGCTAGCTCTACTGAGCTGGCTCAGTATCAGTGCTCTCCTTGGGTGCAGCTACATCAGCTTCCATGTTGGTGAGTGCTGTGCAGAATTTTACACTGTGGTACAGAAATGAGGTTGTGGCTCACATCTGCTCCCCCTGCCTTTCTCTCAGGGCCTTCAACTGCTTCTCCTCAAGCTTTCACATGCAGCTGCAAAACAGGGAGCAACCAGTAAGGTTACCAAGAAGAAGGCTATGTTACTATTTCACACTTGTACCTATTCAGTAGAAAATGGATGTTTCAAACAAGTTATCTTTCAGTAGCTGTTTCAGAAGAGCTTAAACAGACATTTAATGGCACTTGGGTAGTTAATTTATAGGCTTCTTAAGACAAATATTTGCTTTAAAGGTGGCTATGTTTAAGAAATGCATAAGGCATGTAACATAAAAATGAATAGGCATGAAGAAGAATGCATAGGCATGCACAAGAAATGCATGCACACGAAATGCATAGGCATGTTGCATAAGGAAATGTAACATAATTGTGGCACTTTTTTTTCATCATAGCATTATGTAGTGTTTTTTTTTGTTGTTGTTGGAAACTTCCCTGTGCACACGGAACACCTGTCAATTTATTGCCTTTAATATACATGGGAATAAGCCATTTCCATGCTTCAAACTCCCAGCAGATTTTTCATAAAACTTTAGTGTTCTTTTTGGCTTAAGGAATCAAAGTTTTATATGACTAGTTGGATTACATTTTTTAAAGGTTGAGTTGCAAAACTGTAATGAACAACACAGCATGCTTAGTCTGATTCAAAGGCTAAAAAAATCAAGAAAATAGTGGTGGATCTCAGATGCATTATTTTTTCTTTATAGTGTATGGATGATTACATTGCCAAACCTCTCAAACCAACTTCTTCAGTTATGGTAGAGCAACAACTGAATCTTGTAGCACTGATACAAATCACTTTTTATTATTATTATTTTTTTTTTTTTTATTGCTGTCCTTTATACCATTGAACATGCTGTCTTGCACCTCAATACACAAAAGTTTTCAGTTGTAGGAGGGTGGGGATGATGAAGATTTTGCTAAGGTTGATGTTTTCATGTCTGCAGAGCTGAGAAATTATTGCTAGCTAATTCTGAGATGGTCTTAATTCTGTAAACCTGGTAGGTGGCAAATTTTAAGATTTATTCTTATTCACTGAAATTTTATGAGATAAATAAGAGTGGAGGAATCCACGTCTAAATAGTTTTTTTTTGTTGTTGTTGTTTGATTTTTCTGATTGCCGGTGACAATATATAGGTAGCCACATCCAGAAACCTTACATGACATAAAACAAGTGAAGTGCATGTAATCACAGCATAAGGATTTATTACCTTCTGTGCTTACATTCTGTGTAAGAGATTTGTCTGATGATACAATGGCTTCTCTGATGCTTTCTTTCATTCCTGCTGGAGGTAGCAGAGTATGTTTCTTGAATAGAAAAACAGATAGATCTGTCAAAGGACCAGGGCACAAGCAAATCTTAATTCTAATTGTTCTTGTAACTTCAAATTGGCATAAGGAAGGTTAAAAAGGCTTGATTCTCCCTGAGGGAAAACTATTGACTGAAGCATTCCAAGAGTTCCTTGACCATAATCCACGCTCCCTTGGAGAAGAATGGAGTTGCTAATAAAAGCAAACAAACAAATAAAATCAAAAAGCCTCTTAGCAAACATCGAATATATACGTGTGTGTATATATATTTGTAACAGAGAATCATATTCCACCTTTTGTTTGTCAATAATCAGTTTAATGATTGATGACAAGGAAAGAAAACACATCCTTTCCTTCTCATGGAAGGTGTGAATATTCCTTGATTCCTGGCTCAGCTGCAGCTGGCACATTCAGAAGCTCAGTAACCATTCACTAAATGACAGCTGTAGTCTTTTAAGGTCACGTAGGAGTAACAAGCTAGCGACAGCATAGCTTGTGAAGATATATTGATACTTTAATGAATGCCTTTTTACAGTTCAAAAGAGAAGTGTGTGTGTTGAGGGGAATATATGAACTATGAAATTTGCTTTTTTAATGTATAGAGGAGCTTCCACCCATATCTGTTTCATTAGGAATAGTTAAAGTGCTTAGTTATTAGAAAATAGTTCTAATACAAGTTCTTCAACGTGAAAAGAACGGCTGTGTATGTTCACAGAACAGATATACTCACGTTCTAAAGTACTGCATTTCAACTCAGTGGTCTTCTGGAAACAGAGTAGGTGACTATAGGTCATTTAAAAACAGATTTAAAAACAAGTTTAACAAGCCTAACTAGCAATTTAAATATGACACTTGGTTGCCAAACCATTTAATATATCCATTTACATCAGAAACAATTCTGTGTGGACTTAATTTTGAAGTCTCAGCATCAAAAAAAATAAAATAAAAATAAAATGCTTCAAGAAATAAGTAGCAAAAATAATATCTTCCAGCAGAAAATTCTCACTTCTGTAGAAATCTCAAATATGCATAATGGTAATGCTACCATCTTTGTGAGACATTGGGAATCATTACAGAATTTGAAAACACTCAGTGGGTTGTTGGTGGTAATAACAAAACCCAATAAATATTTTGGGATAAAAGAACTCTTAATAATGCTGTGATATCCAAGAGAAAAATCAGGTGAACACTGTAAGTACAGCTGTCTAGGAAAGGCATAATCTAGAAGAAAAGCAATTCTGAAAGAAACAAGATCCTCACAGCCTGCTCCAAAAGATTGTTTTAAGCATGTTTGAATGGCGACAAACCTTATTCTCATCTGGAAAATTAACTTTCAGACCATCTTCCAGTAGTTCATCAGATGTCTTCATGCACATACTTCTTGCATTTAGTCAAATTCTTCATAGAATATGCTTCTCAGACCTCCTTAGGAAACCATTAGGACTGTATTTGAAGTTGACAGCCATTAAAGGCCTGAAACATCATCTACTGCGGTGAACAGATGGAGTAGTAGATAGCTATATTCCTTGGAAACTGCCTTCACAAACTGACTGGTATTTACTTAGGATGTTTTCTAGCACTGCCTGGAACTACATGTGGTACAGGAGCAGGCCGATTTGGGATAAAATAGCAAATCTCATGTGGGACACATGGTTGTAATGCTGCTCTGTGAAGTCCTAAATGATGAGCATAGTTACTTTCATAGGAGAAAATTCTTGATAATAAGTACAGTGTGATTGCTTGGTATACTTGGATATATTGGGAAAGGGGGGTTGTGTTACTTAATTTCACTTGCATTTTATAATTGTACTGCCGAATGTTAAGAAGAAGGCAAGGATGTACAAGTAGGAAGGAAGGAGGAAAACAGTAATAGAAAAATATATCCCTTGTATTTGGGAGACCATGGAACATATCATAAGCATATTTCACACAGTGAAAGAGGACTTGCAGAAAGATTTCAAGGAGAAAAAAAAAAACTGAGGCAAGTCAAAAAGTTTTATCTTGTAGTTGTTACATAATTAGCATACAGATGTTGATTCATAGGAATTGATTGCATAAGAAGTCAACAACATATTATGTTGTCCAGTATCAAATACAGTATGTGGTAAACTTTATCATTATTTGCACTTTTTTATGCTGTTTACACACAAGTTTTTCCTCCTATTTTGAGCGACATCGTAATCTAATTATTCAGTCTCAGCATGACTTCCCTTTCATGTATTGGGATAGTATGTTGTAATTGTGTCAGTGATCAACCTTTCTTTTTAAGGTCAAAATAATCACCCTTCTTTGGTGGACTTTCTCTTGGACTCTGCAGATTTCATCAGTTGTTACATAGATGGAAAAAAATATCCCATAGAGGTTTAGGGTGATAAGGCATAAAAATTGCAATGCTTTTTTTCTTTATTTGTTTGTTATTTAGTAACATTTAGTGCCAATTAACTTTATTTTTCATATTTCAGTTTGTGTGGTAATGGAAAGATAATAACCCTGTTCTGTAGATCAGTTGATTTATTATCACATGAAAGTGTTTGTGCAGTTTTGTATAAGAAATGATCAGATAAAAATGATAGATTGCTATCTCTAATACATCCTTAATGTTGTTTCACTTGAATATTTCTCATGTGTCCTTGAAAAAATGAGCAATGCTTTAGCTCCCAATACATATCTGACTCTTCCTGTGCTTTCACAGTCATGAAGTGATCACAGTCATAAAGATCAGTGATGACTGAACTTTCAGTTCAGGAACTCTTTCCAAAGATCATCTGACCCTGTTTATGCCAACATAAACATTTTCCATTTCCATTTCAAATCCTTTTCCATTTTTCCCTTATTGGTGTGTCTTGTTTTATGTCCTTGTACAGTTACAAAGCAGCTTGAAGTAAATATACCACTTATAATAATTTGTTTGAAAATATAATTGTATTCTGCAGTCCCTTTCTGAGAATACTATAGTTGTCCTGGACCCACTAAACATCAAGTAAACACCATTGTCAGAGACCTGGTGTGCCTTGTATGGAGATTTCAAGCTACATAGTCCCCTGTATTTTTTTTTTTTTTTTGATAAATTAATGAAACAGTTCACTTCCTTTGCACTTGCCCCAGCTGTCTGCCATCAGTTTCTTAAAATCTCAGGTATTCCATGATTGGTGTCACTATACAGTTCTCTTGCTTTTCCTTTTCCTCATCCATTTAACTTTCTGAACAAATTCATTCTTCATATATTACAATATATTAAATAAAAAGAAGTAATTAATGATGGTAAATAATTATAGGAAAAAAAAAATCTGAGGTAATTTCAAAAAGGAAGCTCTCACATCTCTGCTATTTCCTTATTAAGAGTTATATGTCTAAAATATTCTTTGCAGTTTTGAATGATGAAGGTGGAAAAGAATGAACATACCCGGAGATTTTTAGATAGCAAAAAGTTGGTAACAGCATCCAGAGAACCACAAGCTTCTGTATATTCAGTGGTATCAGACCACAAAAGAAATCTTCCTGCTTGAATGGAGGATTGCCTAAACAAGGGCTGTAAATCTGGATTAGGAAAAAGAAGCAAACAGTAAACTGATCAGGATCACATTCCAAGTACTGGAAGAATAGGCTGTAAAAGACAGATTTTAAAGATATATATATCTGATCTAATAAACCATTGTGATTCTTGCCATTTGTGGTAGAACAATGCATTCTGGTAATATCACTTTTAATATTACTTGTTTAATAGAAATACTGGAGAAACTGTATATTAAAGTGAAAGAAAAAATACTCTTCAGTTTCTTCAATTTCAGGAGAATTTATTTTCTGAATTGGTCATGACATTTAAAACAAACAACAACAAAATCAAATATAAACTATTCTGTTTTTCCAGTACCTCTGCTGTTGTAATTCAGATCTCTCTTATCATCCATCTGCTTACATAAAAATCTGTTTCTGTTAAAATTATTTGTCTCGTTCTTCAGCCAAGCAAGTTGAATTAAATAAAAAATAAAGATCAGCTGTTTTTGTGGATTCTTCTATAGTAGATTTTGTTTTCTTCTGATATTTTTCTCATACAACTTGACTCTCAAGCTGTAACATATGTTTGTGAATCCTTCTACTACTAATTTGAGTGGCAAAATAGAAAAAAACTTTAGCTTGAGGGTTAAATTACTGTAAGCACAGTAACTTTGTTTTGATTGTATTCAACATGATTATGTACTTTTGCAGCTTTTCCAAGATTCATTTATATTAGACATGGCTAGTAATATATTTGAAACAGCAACAGAAATGTTTTCTTGTTAAAAATGTTTGAAGAAAATAACCACAGTATCTTTAGTACTAAACATTCTCTATGTTAATGTTATTTTTCCATAAGTGAAGTGGCAAAAACAAGTTTCTAGTTAACGGGGTATTGGAAGCAAGCATTTCCTACTTACTTCTCTGGTCTAAATCTGGTAAGCTTCAGTGGATAAATGGGCTGCTCATCCTTCCTTCTTTCAGACAGATTTCAGAGGTATTTTAAATGGACATTGCTCCACTATTTATAGAAGATGGTGTAGTCAGAATTCTATAGAAAACAAAACAAAACAAAACAAAACAAAACACTTTTTTTTTTTCTTAAGTTTGAAAGTGTAACAGGAGGCTTGCAGCCAGTGTGCATCAAAACTGTGTTTCCAACTCTACTTTGGAAAATGTGTATCTTAGAGAATATACAGGCATGTTCTTGAGCCTGTTTCCCCTGTGTGATGGGATGATTTAGCAAGCAGCGGATCCACTGCTTCCAGCAAAATAATGATTGCAGCAACAATTGGCCCACTTCCACCTGAGTGCTGCAAGGCTGGAAAATGCTTCTAATCAGACTTCAAGACCTGTGTAATTGTGTCCACATGACACTGCATGGAGTTCCAGGGCTTTTCCCTTTGTAGTCCTAGGGAATCAGAACTCCATAAGTTTTAAATGATCTGAGTGTTGTTCCTTGCGAGTGGGAACCGCTGTAAGGCACTTCTGAGAGTTGCAGAGAGAGATAAGCAGTTTTCCTAGATACAGCCAATTGGTTTGAGAATGGTTCTTTCTTTTAGACTTAAAGCCAATTTACAGCACTTTGACAGTGCTGAAGGCCATTTAAAACTCAGTGTTTTCAAGTATAATTCATATAAATGTCAGGCCTATTTTATCTTAGGCATGTTAACAAGGACATCATAGTTGTCTTTTTTTTTTTCCTCTTTTTTTCTTTTTTTTTTTCTTTTTTTCTTTTCCTTCCTATTGTCTCTCTTCTACCTTGTATCAGAATAGGTCAGTGAGTATGCAGAAACAGATGGATACTCTGTGCTGCTTGAGTCCTCACTGGAAATAATTAATATTTGAGAAGGCCCTAGAAATGGAAACATGGCTTTGAGATATCATAGTCTGTGCTGGCATCATTCATTAGTGAGTCAGTAAAGCCTAAGATATATTTCTGAACACTTTCAAATATTATAAAACATATTCCATTATACAAAAGATAATAATTTGGAGAGAATTTGGAACAGAAGCAAAATTTTCCACAACTTTTGAGAAATGAAAATACTGAAAACAACTTGAGGTCTATCAACTTTTTAATTAATTAATTAATTTATTTATTTATTTTTAAACATTCATTCTTTCATTTCATCTTGTTATAATTGTATGTAAAAATATCTTAAAAAAAAAAAAAAGGGCAAGGTTTTTTCTTAGGGAGACTCCATTTGGAGCTTGCAGGAATAATCTTATTCTTATAATGCAGACCTAGATTATATAGCTATACAATCCTTAATTCCCCTATAAACAAAGAATGGATAGAATCTACTAGTCTTTGTGGAAGATTATGCTTTTTGTGGGAAGTTTTGATTTCATTGAAATAGTGTTTTTTCAGTGGAACACAATTCCATACAAGGAACTGCTTAACATTATTATAAATTCTATCAGTGTGTATTTAACACACTTTGTGTTTTATTAAGGCAACACTAGAAGCAAGACATGACCTCCCATGACATATTCTAAAACTTTGTTTTGCTGAGTTAGAAGTCATATGTTCAAGGTTAAAACTGCTGTAAATGGAAAAAAAAAATCCCTTCTCTTCAAACTACAACAATTATATCACTTTATTCGGTGCTCAGAATAAATTTGACCTGTGGTTGAGATTTCAGGTTAGGATTTGAAGAGCCTAAGGGAATACAGCGCTCAAACCTGCTGTTGTTCATTGAGAGCTGTTAACACATTTAAAGTTCCTGTGTCTGTGTGGATTTTTGTCATTGCTACATTTGAGGTTTCCAAATTAAAATTCAGTCTGAGATAGCTCTCCTACTAGCTTGAAGGTACACTATTGCACACAAACGCAAAAAGAGGCTGGAGCGTGCCTGGGGAAGACAAGGAGGAGTTTTGGAAGCATGCTGCCCTGCCTCTGTTCGTTCTTTTTCATCCCATTTTGTTAATGGACTGGCAAAACTAGCAAAGAAGTGGAGCATGAAAATAGGAATGGATTCCATTTTATGCTAAAGAAGTGACCCTTCCAGCTGCAATACTGTCATCTATAAAGTAACGTGTGTGCTTGTACTCTGCTGAAGCTGATGTTTGGCTTTACTGATTGCCACTTGCAGTGTTCATTAATCCATCTGGCTGAAATAATCCTTTTCAAGCAACAGGTCTCTATCATATTGTTGCTCTTGCTAATGCTTGCAGTTCTCTGGTGATGACTGGCAATGTATTGTATGCAGTACTCTGATAGAGAGCTGCTACCTTGCCATGGGAATGACAGCCTCTTGCCCTTTTTGATTGGGAATTGGTTGCAGTCATCAGAAGCTGCAGACAGCTTCTAAAGCATCACTGAGTCAACTAGAAATTCACTGACCTCTTCTGGAAGTAACATTATCTAGGCTAATTTCAAATGGCATGCAGATACCTGCTTGCTCTTGCAGGGGATCTGATCAAATAAGCAGTTACGCACATGGATAGCTTTACAGATATGCCCAGATTGTTTCATTAGGCCTGCCTATCTGTGGTGGTTTTACCGTGCTGGGCAGCTAAACACCACAATCGCTCTCTCACTCCCCCTCCTTACATAACAAGGGGGAGAAGTAAAGCAAAGAACAACTCATGGGTTGAGATAAGGATAATTTAATTAAAGGGAAATAATAATAATAATAAAAGAAATATTATTATGAACTAAACAATTAACTAAAGGGAAATAAAAAAGAGAAAGGGGAAAAGGGAGGGGAAAAAGGAAAATAAAAAAAAAAGGAGGGAAACAGACAAATAAAATAAATGAACGCTATGTGGAAGTGCAGAGGAAAGAAATTACTCTCTGCTTCCCACAAATGAGCGATGATTGACCACATCCTTGAAGCAGGGCCTCAACGCATGTAGCTGGTGTTGGGGAGGAGGATCGACGTTTTCACAGCAAGAGCCTACCCCTCCCCTCTTCTTCCTGTTTCCACCTTTCATTGCTGAGTGTGACATCACATGGTATGGAATATCCCTTTGGTTGGTTTAGGTAAGCTGCCCTGGTGATGTTTCTCTTCTCACTTTTTGCCCACCCCCTAGGAGGGTTAGAGAGAGGCCCGATGCTGTGCCAGCACTGCTCAGCAGTAAACACAACACTGGTGTGATAACACTGCTGTTCCAGCTACAAGTGCAGAGCACAGCACTGTATGGGCTGCTGCAGGGAGAGTTAACATTCCAGCCAGACCCAGTACACTATCTGAATAAATAATGCTTGCATAGAGGTATTTGCAGGATTAGGGCCTCATTTCACATATGTAAGTCTGATTTCAGAAGTGCTTTCTTAAGCTTATATGAGGTTGATTATCTGTTCAGGAAACACAGCACGAGTTTTTGTTTCAAAACACTTTTTTTTTTTTTTTTTTCTTTTTTTTCCAAGTTTGCAGCAATGTGGAAAAGGGTCTGTTGTTTTGCGTCTTAACCAGATTTCTGAAACAGTTGCACATTTTCCATGAACTTTTCTTCAAAATTGATGCACTTGGGTCCAGTCATTTAATTAATCTTTGCCTAACTTTTCTCATGCACTGAAAAGGAATAATTAAGCTTTGCATGCTGAGTATAATATTTGATGATAAATGCAGTAAAATTAAGAGTGACTTTATCTTTCTAACATTATTTCCCCATGACAATAGTTAGTGTAATATCGGAATATAGACTTTTGAATATTTCTCTTTATCTAGTGTTTGAAACTTTCTTGTCTTTCAGTCAAGTTTGGAAAAAAAAAAAAAAAAAAAAAAAAAACAGTAAATCATTCTTAAGAAGCCATGTCTCTCTCTTCTTTTAGTATTTCTTTTCAGTATAAATGATAATAGTTGACTGTGCAGAAGGTAGCAGAAATATATTTGAGGAGATTATGCACAAATACTATGGGCCTCACAAATGAGATGGAAGGTATGAAGACGTACGAGGAACGGCTGAGGGCACTGGGCCTGTTCAGCCTGGAGAAGAGGAGGCTGAGGGGAGACCTCATCGCAGTCTACAACTTCCTCGTAAGGGGGTGTCGAGAGGCAGGAGACCTTTTCTCCATTAACACCAGCGACAGGACCTGCGGGAACGGGGTTAAGCTGAGGCAGGGGAAGTTTAGGCTTGACATCAGGAGGGGGTTCTTCACGGAGAGGGTGGTTGCACACTGGAACAGGCTCCCCAGGGAAGTGGTCACTGCACCGAGCCTGTCTGAATTTAAGAAGAGATTGGACTGTGCACTTAGTCACATGGTCTGAACTTTTGGGTAGACCTGTGCGGTGTCAAGAGTTGGACTTGATGATCCTTAAGGGTCCCTTCCAACTCAGGATATTCTATGATTCTATGATTCTATGATCTTCATAAATTTAAGGCTATTTTTCATGATGTTACTTTCATTGTCTGTTTTACCTTGTCTGTTTTTTTTTAATCTTCATTGAAAATGTCCTGGATGGCTGTTGTGCTAGCATGTTAGACAAATTCTAAATTTGAGCATATAAGGACACAACCATCTGTGTCATCTCAGGAGGACAGCCAAGCTGTCTGAAGTTATCTTAACAATAGAAGTATGGTTGTAGCAATGATGAAATGCAGGTGAGATAAGGAAGAAGTGGTAACAGGTATAAGTGAATACATGAAATAAGTTTTTGGTAATACTTTTTTTTTTTTTTTCTTAGTGACACTGAAATAATGGCTTGTATATCCATATTACAATGAGTTTAATGATTTTTCTCAATTAATTTTCTCAATTAGTTTCTTATTCACTCAAGATACGACATGTTCTGGGTAGCTATGAATATGTATACTGACTGTTGAAGCTTTAGCAATGTGAATTTTTCTGTGATAAATATTTTCTGAAGTTTAATCTGTTTATATAACACAAACATTTTATATTGGTTAGTATTTAAACCTCAGATTTAATTTTTAGAAGTATAAGAATAATTTGTTAAGAATGGTTTTTTGACCACAGGGTGCTTTACTCATCACCTAGCCTGCTAACTGCAGATGGGTCCCACAGTTTTCCCTACAGGGGAAA